AAGCACGCCCTGGCGGTCCTGGGCGCCTCTTTGCCGTGCCTTGTGCACACACGCAGGCATTTCCGAGTTTTCTCTGCACGAGCCCCGACGTCCAACGCGGCCGCTCGATCGATTTTTGGTAATAAAAGCCTTCAGGTGACCGCCGCGGAGCGCCTGGTGCGCTCGGGGTGTTGACAGCGCGCAGCAGATCGGTGCCGGGGCCAGCCTCGTGGCGTACTACCAGTCTTTTCAACGCGCGTATGGCAGTTTAAGTATCATAAAAGGTCGCCACGCGGAGCGCTTGCCACCTGACGGCCCAGCAGCGCATCGCTCAATATCATGCCCCTGGGACGAAGCCCACTGCAGCACTGCTGTGGCATCACCCCCACCGACCTCGGCCCACCCGCCAGCACCTCCCCGCATCCTCGCCCCACCAGACCCCGCCCCGCCGCAGCGCCATGGCCAAGACTGATAAGAAAGAGGCTAAGGAGGCCAAGCCAAAGAAGGTGCGTCTCATGTGGAGATCTTGAGGCAGGAGCGCTCGCAGCAGCCCACCCCGCCCCCCTCCCGGCAGCTCACGCCCTGATTTTAGTGCGGCAGACCTTTTGTGTGTGTACGTCTCTGTATGCGCCGTGCTGCACGCATGGACAGCGCAGCTGTCCACCTGCCGCCTGGCGCTGCCTGCCTGTGGGCCGACTCTGTTAGCCGATGTGTGTCGCGGGGGCATGGGGAACCCGCCTGGCATGCAGGTGGTGGAGAAAAAGGCTGCCAAGCCCAAGGCGGAGAAGAAGGAGAAGCCTGCCAAGAAAGGCAAGGTGCGGGCCACTGGACAGCACGCTCTACTAAACGCTTGTGGCCTCAGTGAGCTTGTGGGGCCTGGCCCCACCTGGCCCACCCACCTCAGCCAGGTGCATGGATATGCCCCGACAGTGCGGTTTGGGGTGCTGGGGCAAGTGCTGCAGTTGACCAACGGCGTCACTTCAACCTGGGCCGCTGCCAGGCGACTTGTCCAAGTCGCGGCCGGCCGCGCGCGCCGCTGCGCAGGACCCCAACGCCCCAAAGCGGCCAACCGGCTCCTACATGTACTTCTCTGCAGACAAGCGCGGGGAGGTGGGCGGCTGGTGCTGGGTCATGGGTGGCGCGAGGGGTGCCCTGGCCGAGATTCCGCCCAACATGGGCACGTGGCCTGCTCAGACCCCTTTGTCACCGCGGCGTCACCACGCCTACCCCTGGTCCCGCTGCCCTGTGCAGGTCAAGGAGAAGAACCCCTCTTATGCCATGGGCGACATTGCCAAGGAGCTGGGCGCCATGTGGAAGGCCCTGAGCGACGAGGAGAAGGCCAAGTACGAGGAGATGGCAAAGAAAGACAAGGAGCGGTACGAGAAGGAGAAGGCCGAGTACGAGGGCAACTG